CTATAATATTGAAAAATGTCAGAAGTTTGGACTTAGAAATGGTATTCACATGGCCACACATGATTGATCCACGCGGGCCTAGACGTTACCGGTGTAACTATCCGTCGCAATATTTCATTTTTGATTCATTACATTGGCAAATTTTTATGAAAATTAAGTTCTAACATCTTGGCAGACATCAAACTTAGTACAATAAGTTGAATAATTTATCATATATAGTTCAATAATCAAGCGATCCAGATTATTTGTCTATGTGTCATGATTGGTATTTTCACGTCATTTTCCGAGCCAGATTATAACCAAAACCGATCGCCGTAGTGTCGCGCTCGATAAAAACCTTGTAACACTCACGATACTAAGAAATCCGTACAAAAAAAAGAAAATATGTCTGAGCATTGGTCTCCTTCTGTATAATAAATTTGATATTTTTTAGGGTTATGGCTGCTTCGAAAAATGTATGAAGAAACTAAAATAAATATCAATTTCCGTGAAAGGTTATTATTTAAATCGTACAATTAATGAGTAGTAATAATGGTGGTATAAACACATTAACTCAACTAATGAATAGGTACATGACATTTATCTTAAGTCATTACGTGAAAAATCATACAATCAATTCAATGCATAAAATATATGAAACATATGCGAAACATTATGTTTGAATGTGTATTGTGATATGGATTCTGCGATAAAATGGTGGATAGTCGTACGTTATACGGTTTTCAATTTAGATATATGATTCTGGAGTATACAAAATTATCACGCATAATTTTTAATTATATTGCATTATAGATTTCGATATGCAATATGTAAACTATGTGAATTTTTTTTGCATAATCATAAAATATGCGACGTTCGACGTTCGATTTGAATAAACATGCAAATATTTTTTAGCATAATTGTCAACCATGCATCTTATTTGGATGTGCAGTGTGGTATATATGCGACAAAGCATTGCATAATTGTTAATCATGCGGTTTATTTGTGATATAACACCTAAAGTAGCTCGCTAAACTGGTCACGATGAAACAAGTCAAATAACCGGTTCAAGGAACCGGCGGAACACTAGGGAAAGCTCGGCAGAATTGGTAGCTTGGGCCTTAGGAAACCTAAGGAGCTCGAATATCTAGAATACATACCGTACGATAGTAGGTTGATGAGGTTGGCAATGCAAGGAGGTTGGGATGACCTGAGGGTAGCACACGTGGCATATGAGGTCAGGAGGACGAAATACCGACCTCGGAATTCCCAAAGCCCTAGAGAAGAAAGAATCCTTTTGGAATGGAAAGTCTATCTCATCAAAGAATAATAATTATAGAGGCGTGGCTAGTTAGGAAAGTAGATATGGGAATTTCTCTTTCCTAACCAAGACTCACTTGGGCAGCAAGTAACCCAATCCATATAAGGGTGTCAGATTAATTACTTTATACATAAAGTACATATATACAGACAAGCATTCTCGATATTCTACCTATTTTACCACGTTCTTGTCCTAACTTCAGTGTCGGGGTCTTCTCAACCGGGATCCTGTTTATTGTGTTTTTGTGCTTCTTTTTATGTGTTTTATGTGTATAGTTGAGTCGGTTTTAGGATTGTTTTAGTGTCGACAAGTCCATTTTATCGTATTTCGTATATTTTTATGTCTTTCTTTTTATTTTGTATTTTGACGTACTTTTCCGTGTTTTTTTGTGTAAATTCAGGATTATTTAGAGGAGCCGAACCAAGTCTCGAGAGACGAGCATTCCATACAGCTCCGAGTCAATTCCGAGTATTTCGAGCCTTTGTCGATCCCGGACGTGCCCTGCCCACTCGCAATCTCGCGCTATAGCCCGCGTCATCGCGATGCACATTGCCCATCGCCTGACACTCTCGACGTCACACCATATCCCATGCCCTCGCGGAAGCGCGGTACTCGTTGCCCAGGATGCCCGCGCCATCACGGATATCTTCACGAGCTCGAGAATGTCATGCCACGAAACCATATTTTGTTGTAAATTTTTGCAGGGTGGTATTGCATATTCAAAGTTCCTATACTTCTTTAAAAAAATATTTATGATAAAAATGGAGGCAAAAATAGAATATGTAGGTTCCTCTTTTCTCATTCTTCTTAGAGAATGTTTGTTAGCCCGGACATAACAGGATTAGGCCTTTAATCCACCCTTTATCGCATGTTTGTTTGCCATGATTTCGGCCTGGTAGATAAGATTGGGTGCGACTGAATAACGTGATTGCCATTTTGCCCAAATGTGTTCATTTGACACAAACTCCAAATTTCTGAAAACCGAATCCGTCATCAAACCGGTCAAGCTGTCGGTTGAACCTGTATTTAATTTATTAATACTTTTTAAATACATCTAATATTTTATATAATATAATTTATATAAAAAACTTTGTTAATTAATTATTAAGTCAATTTAAAACATTCCAATACTTAAACTAAAGAATAATAACTCATATATATCAATTATATTTAAATACATAATTTTATTTATCCTAAAAAAAATATTTTTTTTTTTTAAAAAAAAAATCAATCTGGTCCGACTGGACCGGTTACGATTTTGACCGATTCAACCAGTCATTGATCGGTCGCTGGCAACTGGTTCATTCCAGCGAACCATACCGGTCAACTGACCGGTTCCAGGTCCAACCAATCGGACCGGCCGGTTCGGTCTGGTTTTCTAAACCACGTCAAAAACAAACCAAAAAAGAATCCGCTCAGGTCTAGTACCAATATATAATCAGTTTCTTGCCTTCAGCCCAAACTTCAATCATTCCAAATTCATGAAGAAAAAGTTATAGTCACAAACATGTGGAGCCCTTATTTACATTCTTCCTGCAGCTTTAAATTTCCACACAGAGCACACAACCAAAAAAAATAAATTCATGAAACATCATTATTTCTTTTTCCACAGCACCAAATATACAACAACAAAAAAAAACTGCCCCAAGTAAATTATCCACCACTAGCAACTTTTGATTTGACTTTGTAAAGTAAAAAGACCACCAAAGTACCTGAAGGCTTATGCTGAATAAAGTTGGACAC